CAGACATGTGCCTGGGTGCAGTTTAATGCACCTGCATTTTTTCTGTGCAGAAAATTGAGGCATATTAATTCCACATGTACATGTGCTCCACTGAAAAAAATACATGGAATTCAATTTGTCTACATTGAAGGGTGTAGGGCCGGGTCATGGTGGAATTTGATCCTGCAGTTCTAGGTAATTTAGGTAATTCAAATGCAAGGCCAAAATTGCTCAGTAGCTTCACTCAAATGAAGTGATAGCCTGCACATCAGAGAATAATCTCTCACCAAGGTGTTAATGTAAAAACAAAAAAGGTAAGGCTGTGGGTAATGAATATGCTTAATTGCAGATAGCTAATGTTGTCTCTCAGGGTTACTAGAAGTCGTCCAGCTTTTGTCTTTGACTTGCTGTGAGAAGAGACCTGATCATCAGCTCTTCAGTTATATTACAATTATACAAGCCTTTATCAATCCAACATCAAAAGGATATATTCATTTAAAACACAGCCGTGTAACTGTGCATAAATATGCTGAACTTGGTAGAAGTTAATTCTAGCCATTAATTATATTTTCCTTAACAATGTCCACTAGATGAAATGTCTGACAAATTACAAACGTATCAGTATGGACAGGAGCTTGTGTAGAGCTACCATTTCTGCTTCATTTAAAAAGCTGTCTTTTTTTTTATTGAACTAAGCAAGCTTGAATATGGTGCATGGCTTAAGACATGACAGTTGGTTTGGTGTGACTGTTCAGATACCAAGCAAGACCTTTATAGGAAGGCAAATGTTTCTGTGATATAATCTGTGTCCCATAAAGTTATTAGTGCATGATCACTATATAATCAGTGTTATGATGCTACAAAAAGAGATCAGTCATATTCCTGTTTGTACTATAACAGTTGTAGGATGAATTGTTTTTTATGCCCTATTTAAGAGTAAAAAAGGAATAAAAAAAAAAAATAAAAAAAATCTGTATAATATTGAAGATATATAATATATCATCAAATGATGTAAACTGTGAAATGGCTTAATGATGTAGAATGATCATTGAATGTCTACAAACCTGTCCATTAAATGGGACAGTAATTTTGGATCTTGTAACTTTTTATTTTAATAAAATAAAGTAACAGCACAGTAAATGTTGGGAGCATTTTCTTTTATAAATTTCAGAGTGTTTTATGAACCAAGAGTACTTAATATGCACAAACCAGAATCTACAGTTAAAATATAAATAAAGCAGATGGGGGGGGGGAAATCAAAAGATGTAATCATAGAGAAGTAGGGCTGGAAGGGACCTTCAGAAGTCATCTAGTCCAACCCCCTGCCTGAGGTAGGATCTTCTCAATCCAAACCAGCCCATACAAACTATAATCTAAACTCTACATAAATCTACCCTCAACCCTGGCACATAACACCCTAACCTGCCACAGGTCAAGCAGAGGAACCATGGCTGCCAACATCCTGCTTCTATGAAATGTCAATATAAGCTCAAGAGGGCCTGGGTAGAGGGCCATGCCCCCTGCTACAGAGGAAGGCAAAACTCCCACAGTGCATACCAATCTGACCATGGGGTAAAATACCTGCTTGATCCCAAATCTGGTGATGGGTCCAACAAGCAAGACTCTCTAGCCAGGAACCTCTGGCTTTGGTCCCAGCAAAAGCATTGGCACACCCCAGTCAAACTCCCCAGCCTTGGCTGTAGCCAACACCCAATGTCTCTGAGGAAGGCGTAAAAATATCCTGGGCACATCTACATGTGTGGCTAATGAGCAGTAGCCTATTCTACTGCGCATTAAAGTGGCGCATAAAAAACCTTGCTAATATGTTAATACATAGTAGAATAGTGCATTGACACCTAAAAAGTGTGTGCTTGAGCTGCTGCACATTAGTGCAGTCTAATGTGCATTTATTTAGTATCTAATATTGGAGGTACTAAATTTAATGTGCATTAGGAAAAGCACATGAATGCATGTGTAGATGTGTCCCCTGTAGCAGAAGGTGGGGGGACAGTGTCATGGAGAAAAAAAATTGAGTCCATCCTCAGAAATTTTATTGATTTGTGGGATGGGTCCCAATGGCCTCAGGAAGGTAGGTAACAGGTTGAACTGCCATTTCGGGGTAATGGCCGGTAGTGTTAAGAGGGACCCCAAAGCGGTGATAGTTCAGCAGTTATGCAAGAGGCAAGGCTGTTTTGGGGTGAGATCTTTTGAACCCGCTGCATGGTTGGGATGGAGACAGACATGCATCAGAACACAAGGAAGAACGCGGTTCCCTAGCAAGCCTGGTGCACCCAACCCCAGCCACGTGGCGCCTCCAAGAGAAGAAACGGCTCTGAGAAAACCCCTGGCCCGTGTCCGCAACACTAGTCCTTCAGTTGGGCTGGCGCCGCCTAAAACCAGGATGCTGGTGTTTACTCGAGAAACGCAGAAATCTTGAACTCTTGGTTCAGAGATACTTTTTATTAGACCACCTGGCAGAGAAGGGTTTGGGGGTCAATCCCATATCTTGTATTAGACCAAATGGCAGACCAGGGTTTGGGGGTCAACCCCATATCTTGTATTAGACCACCTGGCAGACCAGGGTTTGGGGGGTCTGTGCGGGACGCCTCCCGATCCCGTCCATGTCGCCATGTGCGAGCTGGGAGCGATATGCGGACCCGTCTTTGTGCACGCGGGCTGTGGCCAGCAGCCCGGGCACGTGGGGTTAGAAGGGACCGCGGGGCGGTAAGGAACGCACGGGCTAGAATTAGTCACAGACGCGTAATGGTTGATTTAAAGATTATTTTACTTACACCGAAGATGGTCGCGGTGCAGGCAGGAAAACTTGCTTGAGTTGCGGTTACAGACAGGAAAGGAGAGAGGCGGACAAGAGTTCTAAACTCACGAACTCTAGCCCAATCCGGCTGAAGGCTCTAAACACGCGAGCCCGTCGTGTCAACCGAAGAAAGTACTCGTACAAAAGAGCTCTGAATAAACTCACACAAAGTTTGCTAGGCTCCGTGGAACTTGTGCTCTGAGGTAGTCCGGTCATCTGAACAACTATGTCAGTTGTTCCAGCTGGCAAGAAATAGACTCGCACAAAGTTTGCTAGGCTCCGTGGATCCTTTTGCATGCAGGGAGGGATACGTCTAGGAATCTATCCATATAAATGGCGGGAACTCTTTGCAACGAGCATTTCTGTGCTGCAACAAAGAAATGCACCCTGCAAAGAAAGCTACTGGTGGCAGGAATTGTTTTATACCGGGGTTCTCTTTTGCAGCAGAAAACTCCACCGTGCAAAGAAGCTGCAATTTAGCGGGAACAATTTAGCAGTGCCGAAGCGCACACAAACAAAATCACACCCTTGGGTTGTGACAGGGTCAACCCCATTGTTGCACAATGGCTAGTTTCGTGCCCCTGGAGGCTTGTCCAATCCACCCCTAGGAGAGAGTCACACACACAGGCTGGGTCCAAGTTTAGATTTATTGTTTGCAAACAAGTTCGACAAGGGAGCTTAATTTATTTAAATCCGTGTCGACCCCAAACAGAGTCTGGGG